AGCCTTCCCTTCTCCAGACTAAACAACCCCAAATTCAAGGTCCATATCCTCCCTATGAGGACAAGGGTCTTGGTGTCAGCCCCCTTCAGCTCCCCCATCAAAACCTTGGAGGCTTTTTAATCATGAAATGAATGCTGAGGGGAATTAATTGGCATCTTCTTAGCAGTATCAGTAAAATTAATGAATAAGAAAGTTAATTTCCACCAGCACAGCCTTGGAAGAAGACTTGCTGGGTAACCTTGGGGAGCTTCTGATCCCCAGTGCACAAGCTGGGATAACAGGGTCTGGTTCTTACCTGGCTGAGCCTCTCCTGGTCCCAGAGGGAGCCGATAATGAATGCCACAAGCCGTCCTTCCTCAAACCAGCCGAGGGACAGCTCCGGGCAGAGGTTCAGGAAGTGGCGGATCTCATCCAGGTGGAGGGGACAGTCCCCAGAGACAGAGATGAATGCTGGAGGGGGATGGCTGTGAGTGGAGGGGGGTGGGAACAGGGACACCCTGACCTAAACCCACCCAGCACTGATGTAGGTGAGGAAAGCAGGATGTGATGGGGAGAGATCCTGTGTCCTGCTTCCTACTTGCTCTAAAGGAGATCTGAGGGGCCTGGATGGCTCCAGGGAGCAGCCCTGCTTATATAAAAGCCCCCCCACGGCCCAGGGACTGGCTTCAAGCTCTTGCTGCTGATTCCAAGACTACAGCAGTGGGTGCTGAGATGAACCCTCCCTCCCGGCATCTCCCCAGCTGCCCTTTGGAGAGGACAGAGAAATAGGTTGGGTGAGTCTGGGAGAGGGCAGCTGGGGGTACTTGGGATGGAGGGGAAAGGTTGCTGGGGGTGCATCTCACAGTGTGACAGGAGGCAGAACGTGGTGTCCTTCCTCCCACTTCCCCCTCTCCTGCTGCCCACTGGCTCCCAGGGCTGTTCTGGGAGACCTGGTCCAGGATCACCGCACGCTGCTCAGCCCTGGACATTACCCCTCACCATCCCCACACCACAGAGGATGGGTGAGCTGAACGCCATGGTTCTCCACCTCATTAGGGAGCCCATGGTGGCCTGGCCACAAGTCACAGCCACTGGGTCCCTCTCTCATCACCCACGAGGGCACACAGGGAGGGTTTTGCCACCATGATGTACCCTCAAAGAACACAAGGGACCAGTGAAGGAAAGGGAAAGGCAGGACCCCCCTGGGCAGCCCCTCACCTTCCCTCTCGATCTCAAACACGCTGATGGCATCCTCGGGGCTGAGGCAGCGGAACTCGCTGGCTGGCAGCGTGTGACGGCGCTGGCCCCCAGGAGAGCTGCGGGGGGACCTCTCGTGAACGGGCTTTAGGAAAGGCACCGCGCTGAGCACCGACATTCTGCTCCTGCTCCCGCTCAGCTTCCCACAGCTCTGCTGCCTGGGCAGCCTCTGCCGGCGCCTGGTCCCGGTGGCAGCACCTTTGGTTTCAGCCAAACTTCTCCAGTGCTCTTAGCTGCTGGAAATACCTATTGATCACACACAGGGATAGGCTGCTTGGCACCCTTCTCCTGTACATGTGAGGAGATTATATATATAGTCACAGACACATATAGGATGCTGGAGAGGGACTCTTCATCAGGCACTGTAGCAATAGAACAAGGGGTGATGGGTTCAAACTGAAAGAGGGGAAGTTCAGGTTAGATATAAGGAAGAAGTTCTTCCCTGTGAGGGTGCTGAGGCACTGGCACAGGGGGCCCAGAGAAGCTGTGGCTGCCCCATCCCTGGCAGTGTTCAAGTCCAGGTTGGACAGGATTGGACACAGGGACTTGGAGCAGCTTGCTCTAGTGGAAGGTGTCCCTGGCCATGGCAGGGGGTTGGAACTGGGTGAGCTTTAAGATCGCTTCCAACCCAAACCATTCCCTGGTTCTATGATATATGCAAGCAAATACCTGTCCACAGTGACCCCACTGCCAGTCTGCCATCACCATGAGCTGGGGCCAGTGCCTGGGGGGACCAGGAGGCTGGCGCCAGCCAAGGGCTGTAGCAAACCCAGGGACCAGGGTGACAAAAGCCTCGTGACCAGTTAGGAGGTCTGGGTGGTGGGACAGAGCAGGGACAGAGCTGGGGGTGATAGCTGGAGCAGGAGGAGCAGGCATGGGGCTGAGCATCCTGCCTAACATCTCCCCGCCTGTGGCAAAGCCAGTCAGTGGGACAGGCAGCAGAGCCCTGCAACAGGCAGGGTGGGATGTGGCTACAGGATACCAAGAGGATGCAAAATGAGCATTTCTGGGTGAAAGCTCCTTGTGATGCTCTTGCTTTCATGGTGCAGCATGGCTGTGTGTGAGCGAGAGGTCAGTGCTGGACACTGAGGTGTTCCAGCATGGACACATACCAGGCAGCCAGAGACAGCCCCAGATGTCAGAATTTGCTCCCTTTTCGAGCTCACTCAGCAGGTAAGTGACACAGCCCTGTGCCTGTTGGGCTCTTGGGTCACATCCATGCTCACAGATATAGCTGAGATGGGTTCATGCAAGATGAGTGGGTGCCTGTGGCTGCAAAGACCAGTGTCCTCCTTGGGTGAGATGCCCCAGGCTCTGCCTCTGCCCAGGGAGCTTTGGGCAGCGTGATCCCAACAGGTACAGCCCATCCCAGGACATGCTGCCTGTGATGCAGGACCCCATATCCCTCAGTTCCCCCAGGAGTGTCACCAGTGCCCGAGCTCATCCATCAGCACCATCCTGCATAGCCCAGCCCAATCCCTCAACCTGGATCAGAGCCTGGAGCTTCAATCTGCCTCTGGTTTCGTGTGTGAGCAATCCAAGTCAATAAATCCAAGGAGAACCACAAACTGAGTGGATAACTTTACTAAACACATGCATTCCACAGGCAGAAACAGTGGAAATTGCTCCTGGAGCCAGTTACCCATGCTCAGCCCAGTATTCCAGCCTTCTGCAGCAAAGCCACTGTGAAGCCAGGTCACTTTTGGTGATTGTTTGAGAGGTGCCAGCTTTCCCTGCTAATTATAGGCTTGCCTCCAGCTAATAGGATTTATGGAAACAAAAGCATTACCAGCACAAACATTGCACCGGGCAAAACAAGCTGGAAATTTTCCACCCTGAAATGCCTAGGGCTGGGTGCTTGGAATGCCTGGTTTATCCAGCCCAAGGTGAGAGTGGGGTGTTGTGATGGATTTTCAATGAATTGCTGGGTTGGCAGTGGATGTGTAGCTAAGGGATTGGGTTCATCAGGGAGAATGGGTTTATTTGGTGGGGGAATTATTGAGCAACCCCAATGCTTGTTCTGGTCACCAAGGGCTGAAATGGTGCTGGGAGTGGGTGGTTCATGCTCTGGGAAACATGTAGGAAGGAGGTAAAGGGGTGGCTGAGGTGGAGGGGACAGCAGGGTGCTGGGGGTATAGTGTTTGTAGAGCTTATTATCAAATGTTCTGGAACTCCTTATCCTGCTAATTGGATTAGAGGCTCATCCAACCTGGATAAATCCCAAAGGAGGTAGGAGGGCAGGCTCTGGCACCTAAAAAATGCAGCAGTGGTTTGATCCTGGGCAGTGCTGAGTGCCTGAGGATGGCAGGACAGAGCCAGCTCTGTACAGCCTCGGGCAGGGCTGATGTTCCAGCTGCTGTGGAAATTCTGGAGCAGGATTATAGAGTCACAGAATATGTTGGGTTGGAATGGATCATTAAAAGTCACCTGGTCCTAACCCCACCATCATGAGCAGGGACATCTCTGCTAGACCAGGATCCCCAGGGATATCTGCTCACTGATAGCCGCTGTTGAACATTTCAGTGTCGAAGAGCAAGTCTTCATCCCAGATCACACAAAGACTGGAAGGAGCTGAATAGTGGAAAGTCTACAAGGACATCCAGAGCTGGGGATTCAAGACCCTTTGTGCAAGTGGCTGCTCCGTTCCCATTAGAGATACCTGGGAAAGGGGGCTCAGATCCCTCCAGCTACTTCTATAAACTTCTTGAGGCCACAAAAAACAACAGCCCGTAGCAGAAACCACTGATGGGGAAAGGCTGCTCCTTGGCTTCTTTTCCTTGTATTTTTCCCCCCTCTGGCACCTTATTCCTGGCAACCCAGGTTACACTGCTGCAGGGCTGATCTATATGTGTCTGTGCTCTGGAAATGAACTCCTTGCTTTGCTTCTCAGCTCTCCACAGATGCAAAATTCTTCTGGAGTGGGCTGAGGGGATACACAGAGCAGAGAGGAACCATCCATCACCCCAGCCCATCCCTGGAGCTGACCCAAGCCCTGCCATGGGGGCACCAGCACTGCTGTTACACCCAGGGAGCATCCGACATGCAGAGGTGAAGGAAACTCACCCCAGCTCACAGAGTAAGTGAGAACCAGAGTGAGGAGGAAAATCCTCAATCCCTGGCTTGAGATACCTGTCTTCCAATGCTCCAGCACAGCCTGCTGTATCTTGTTCAAGTCACACACCAAGCTACATTTTGTGCTCTAACTCCTTCCAGCCCTGCCTGAGACAAGCCCCATACATCCCCATGTACATAGCAGCTACCAAAAGCTTGCTCTGTAAATTTCCCACACACACTCATGTTTGTGCACTAAAGATCAAAGCATCTGTGTGGTCCAGAGAGGACCTCACATGTAAATAAAGAGACAGGTCTGCAGTATCTCCCTAACAGTACCTTGCTATTATTATGTGATGAATCTGCCTGGCTTTGGAGCTTGGCTTTTTAAATGAGTTGGTATCAAGGAGTTATTCACCCAGTTCTGAAGCTGAATATTCTTTGCAAAAGACCTCGAGATCCTCCAACACCCTAAACAGGGAGGGTTTCAGTGAGAAGAGTCCTTACACCCAGGTTTTGATAGTGTTGGAAGTGCAGGGATGGGACACAGGCTGTGGTGATGGTCACGCTCTTACCTCAACCAAAGCCACTTTTCAGACAAGCTAAGCTCCATGCACCAACCTCCCTCCCCTCTGGGGCAATTGTCCTCCTTCCTGGGATCCTGGGGCTGGCAGGTCACCGGGCTGACTAGACCACGAGCTGTCCCCAAGGCTGGTGCAGCACCGGGATGCGGGGTTCTTACCGGACAGGGCCCCAACGCTGCTCCTCAACCCGCCTGGCTCTGATGGTGCCGTCTCACAGCAGAGGAGGAGCCGGGGTTCTGCCTCCCCTCCTCTGCCTGCTGCACCCTCCACAGCCCCGGCTTATATATTTGTTATTTATGGAGCACGTGATGCCATCCTCTAAGGAGTTTATGGCTCTGATGACAGACAGGGTGGGGTGAGAGGCTTTAAGGTGACAGGCCAGCAAAAGGATCCCATCGGGCTTCTATTTCAACTCACCCCCCCCCCCCCCCCGACCCCCCCCCCCCCCCCCCGCAGTGACTGCCCACAGAGGGATAAAGCGTTTAGCTGATTGCTCTGCCCTGAGTCCCTGCTGCAGGGAGAGCACAGGACTTAGGTAGGACAGGAAAGCAATGTGTACCTGATGCAGACCTCCCTGGCAGCATCAGGAGATGCTGACGACAGCCCTGCCAAAAGTGGATGAGCTTCCTTAGGATGCCCATCACCCCAAGGAAGGTCACAGTCATGCCTGCACATCATGCCAGGCATAACCGTGGCTTGGGTTTGAGCAGCTGGGGAGGGAAATCCGCTGGTTACTTGTGGGATGAGGGGCCAGACTTGAGGTTTCTGCCCCAAGGAGCTTACTCCAAAGACCAAGCATCTCCCTTGCACAGTCCTCTGTTGCATAAGAGCCTGGATAGGTAAAGCCAGCAACATTTGTCCTTGTCAGGATGTGTGTAATAAAAGGGGGATTATCCCAGGCATGAGCATGATGTTGGAGTCATTATTATCATCATGAACCTGAAAGGAGCCCAGAGCAGGAGGCAGAGCTGGCTTTGTTCCACCAGAGACATGTCCAGGGGAGCTCAGGACGCGCTTCTGTTTCCAGCCATGGGTGAGGTGACCCCTTAAGGGAGTTACTCCCTTATCTCCCTCTTTTAAGTTTTTTCTTATGGAATTGAAACAGAAATACAACCCAGCAGCTTTCTGCTCATCAGAATTGGCATTTCAGAGCAACTCCCAAACACATAGACTGAGCCCAGGAGAGCAGGGGCTGGTCTGTGGCTGGAATAGACAAGCAGGGATACTGCATTCGGTGGCTTTAGCTGTGTCCATCTCTCTCTGCTTCTACCCAGCTGCAGAGGGTCAAATACTCCATTAAATAAGAGTCACAGCAGTGTGATGGGATTTACATATTTAGCAGCTCTCTCAGCATCTTCAAAGAGCCTTGAGCTGATGCTGCAACCAGGTTGGTCCTTCCGCTGGAGTCCCACTCAGGAAGGTAGCAATTGTCTCTGGGTAGGACTTGCAGAGAGGAGTGGCACATGGAGCGCAGATCAACCAC